ACATCCTGCTTCCCATAGTGAGCTGGCAGCATCTCTCTGACTCAGTCTTCTCCCACCCAGCATTCTCCTCTCTCCTTGTCTGGCCTACACTATGTCTCCTGCCTGGCTACTGGCCAATCAGTGTTTGTTTTATCAATTAACCTGAACAACATATATTCACAGTATACAGGACATCCCATAGCACTTGAGCTACACTAGTGAAAGATGTGAGTTTATTTCTCTCATTTTGATGATTTTACCAAGGTGATTGAGTTGTTTCCTTTTTTTTTGTTTTGTTTTGTTTTTTGTTTTTCAAGACAGGGTTTCTCTGTGTAGATTTGTGCCTTTCCTGGAACTCACTCTGTAGACCAGGCTGGCCTCAAACTCACAGAGATCTGCCTGGCTCTGTCTCCTGAGTGCTAGGATTAAAGGCGTGTGCCGCCGCTGCCGCCACCACCACCACCACCCGGCAATTTGTATTCTCATTTAACTATTGGTCTAGTTTGCTTTATGGTCTCTGTGATAAAAATACTGTTGCCAGAAGCAATACAGGGGAAGAAATTTTTTATCTGGCTTAAACTTCCAGGTTACAATTATCTATGGGAGAAGTCAGAGCAATTTCTCCAGAAGGAACTGAAGCAGAAAGCATTTTACTAATCTGCATGTTAACTTGTTCATGTCATATGCTGAGCTGTCTTTATCATAAAATCCATTCACAGCAACCTATGCTGTGGGCCCTAACACACTAATCGTCAATCAGGACAACAACTCAAATACTCTGTCACCAGCCAAACTGAAGTATTTTGTTTGTGAAACTCATTTAATATTGTAATGTATCATTAAGAAATACATATTCATAGTTAATCATCGATGATAATCAAACTTGTAGTCATGTTAGTTGTCTAGATATAAATAGATATATTTCAATTATATATGTAATCTTCAAACAGTTCAAAGACCTACAGAATATGGCATTTAAAATGTTTTAAGAAATTTGACTTTCCGGACATTGAGACATGTCTGCTCCTGGCAGCACAAATCTACTTCAGAGAAGATAATGGGCATTGAAAAAATTCATCATGAAGTTTGCTTTCTTTGTTGCAAAAGTTAGCCACTGGACAAAAAGCTGCCTTGACTACTGGATAATATGTTGTATAAAGTGGACATGCAGGACCCATAAAAGGTGAACACTGAACTTTGAAAGATAAGATGGTTTTTCAGGTTCCTACTTAACAGATGAGACTGTCAGACATTCCACAGGACACAGAAAGAAGCAACTGAGAGACACTAGGCCTATGGACTGAATAAGGATGCTCTAATGTTACAGGTAATGTCCAGGTAGCCAGCTCTCTCTGTCATTCTAATTTTTTTGGAACTTGCATACAATGTATTTCTTGTTTACTTAAGTAATATATCCTTCTGTGGTCTTTGATGTAGTTGAAGATTAGATAGTTCTAATTATAATTTCCCTTGATTATGATAAAGATAAATTACATATGAAAACTTAGACTCACAAATATAGGACAGATTGAATATTTTCTTTAATTTTTACAAAATACAAATAGACTAGATATTGTAACTGTAATTACTGCTTGATAACTCTTTTGTTATTTGTAATTTTAATAGGTTAAAGTTAAAACCTTTCTTTTCTTTAGACAGAAAAGGGGAAATGGTGAGGAAATATCATTCTGTATGCTGTGAATATGTGTTGCTTTGATTGGTTGATAAATAAAGCCATTTGCCCTATAACAAGGCAGCTTAGAGGCAGGCTGGAAATTAAAAGAGTGAGACAGGAAGGTAGAAGAGATGCCAGTGAGCCACCCAAGGAGCAACATGTAATTGGATGCAGTTAAAGCCACAGAACCAATGGAAATATGCAAATTAATAGTTATGGGATAATTTAAGATATAAAAAGTAGCTAGCAAAACGTTTAAGCCATGACCATGCAGTTATAATTAATATAAGCTTCTGTGTGTTTACTTGGGAGATATGGGTGGGAGAGATGTGTCCCTACCTCCAGCAGGTCAGGACACAGGAAATCTGCCAACTACAGCCTTGTTGGCATACACTTTGTAATTCATGTCTCCAAACAAATAACTTTTAAAACAACATCCAAAGCAGAAATGCTATTAATTATTATCAATATTTCTCAATGGCTTATTTTTGGTGCACTCACTAACATGCTTTTGGTTTTTTTGGTTTTGAAACAGGATCTGTTATATCCCAAGTTGACAAGAAATTTGTCATGTAATTGAAAATTACACTGAATCCCTGGTTTTTGGGCTCTCCCTTCTTAATTTTGGCATTACATATGTGTGACATAACATTTCACTTGGCTTCTAGCTTTTCCTTTTATGCATGTATGTATTTGTGTTTATGATGATGTGTATGCAAATGTGAGAATGTATGTGTTCATATGCTAAAGACAGATGATATCAGGTGTTGAAACTTAATTTCTACCTTGTTTTAGACAATCTTCTTCTTCTTGTAAATCCCTGTGTGTGGCAAATTGGCAGGTCCTAAGCTTGTAGGCAATCTCCTTTTGCCACCTCTTATGTCATAGAAGGGTTACTATGTTTAATAAAACAAACTCAGGTCTTGTGACATACAAGGCAGTTGATTTCCACTGAGTTATCACATGAGCCCAGCTTTCAATCTATTTAAGTGACTTAATTTTCTCATATATTATGCAATTGACTTTATCTCTACACATTCTCTGTAGATCATTTATCACCACCAGGTTTCAATAAAATCTTAAATTCATTGAATTCATGTATCCTACTGCTCTGACACTGGCTTAAGTCTTACATTCTCTCCTGACTTGATTCAGTTGGTCCTTCAGATAATGGGGAACAATACAAGCCTGCAATGGAGGGTGAGGCAGGAAGAGACAGCACAACTAGACCAGGAACAGTTAAGACACTCTGACTATTGAAAACACATTAAAGTAGTACTAGGAATGTAAATGAAGCATTGGGTTGAATGTGGAATGCTATGCCTTGAACATCTCTAGCTGTCTATGTTTTGGTGTCTTTGGTCTTAAGGAGTCACTATCCACAAGATGTAGAACCTAAGAGGTGAATTATTGGTGAAATTATTAATGCCACTCCACATAGTTAAAAGGGAGGTTTATCTTGTGGGGTAAATTACAAGTGAAGGGAGAGTTTTCAGGGTCTGGAAAAGGAATGGCACAGTCCGGCAGTATTCTCTGGAGAACTCTGCTTGGTCTACCTCCAGCGACCATGGTCCAGGAACTAAGAGACCCTGTGCATCTGGATCTCAGGTCTTCAGCGTCCTTTCTCAGCCCAGACTTGTAGGCATAACCATTACAGATGCCTCAATGGTGGTTGGAACTTGCAGGTCAAAGATGGAATGTCTACCCACTACAGTGTATGTTAGTGGGAAGACATCTCCCTCAGAAGGTGTTAGTAGGGTTCTCCAGACATGATGGTAATATAAAGTCCCAAGCTGGACATGCTCAGAATGCTCTCGCTTCCTTAATTGTTGTGATCACTTTTTACCAACTCATGCCTTTGTCACTGCTACATGCCAATAGGATGTCTCCTCATGGCATCAGTAGTAAATCTGTGAGGTGATGAGTTTGCTAATGAACTGGATTTTATCTGCTTATTAACTGTGTGTGTATGGCAAATGGTATCACTGAAATGATGACTAGCCTTGAGGAGCTCAAGGATTGAAGAGGAAGCCATGGATTCAGCAAACTAATCACTTAACTTGACTTTTCTATCTGAGGGTATAAAATTTAATTTGCTGGGGCCAGAGAGAGGAAAAACTTTAACTCTCTGGGGCCAACAAAGGAAGAAATGTGCACAAACATCTATATTTCTCCATCATTTTCTCTTTATTCTTCCTCTATGTTTCTCTCCCAGCTTATATATCTGAACAAAATCTCTCTGGCAATATAAAACTACAATGTGGATACATTCTATTTTTCAAGTGCATGATTACCATGAATACAGTTAAAAAACATGATTTCCAATTTCCCTCAAAATGATTAAACATCCTACGTATCATGGATGTAAAACAAATTATGCCAAGATCATGCATACATTCATATCGAAGCAACTTTGTATAGATTAACAGAATATAAGCAAGTAAGATATATTTCTCAGTCATTCTTTCACTACCAGGCTGAATTTTGTAGTTACAAAGGAAGGATCAATGATTTTATAACTTATCTCAAATGATAACTTTATAAACAATCTTAAAAGAATCACAAATCTAAATTATTATGTATGAAAAACAATCAGTCTTCTGTGTTTTGAATACTCAGATTGTGTATTCCTTCATCAATAGCTTTTTTGTATCAGGAAGCAGAGGGAATACATGGGCATTAATTAACCATTGTCTTTGAATTAATTATCAGGATTTAAGGAATTAATCATCATCTTGGATTGCCAAAACATCTTAACAAAAAAGATCCATCCGCAAATAATAACTAGGCTGCTTTGTTCTTGTTTCTTGACCTCAATGAGTCCCTCACTCAACTATGTTCCTTTATAAACTTTAGATGGTTTCCCCAGGTTTTTCATCTCAAAGTTATTAACAAAATATCTTATCCTATCTGTAAGTCACATTGAAAGCTTTCTTTTCACTATGATGCACACTGAAGCCCATGTCACATCTCCCAACATTAAGATTAGAAGAACTTGAGCTAGCTTAACTTCTGGGACAAAATTGTGTTGTTGTTCATTTTTCCTCTTTTGGGTGGTCTACCACCCAGCTCCCAAGTGTATCATACAAGGAGGCTTATTCTTACTTGTAAATACCTGGGGTTAGTTTGACTTGTTTCTTGCCAGCTTTCTTTAACTTAAACTAGCTCATCTAACTTTTGCATCTGGGATTTTCCCATTCTCTTACATCTGTAAATCTTACTCTTACTCTTACTGGCACTGGCTGTGCATCTGGTTGGCTAAATCTGATGTATTCCTTCTTCTCTCTCATTCATTAATCTTTTTTACTCCCAGAATCCTATATATTCTCTGCCTGACAACCCCTCTGTCCTTTCTCATGCCTCAAAATTGGCTTCAGATCTTTATTAGACCATCAAGTGTTTAGACAGGTACAATAACACAACTTCACAGAGTTAAAAAAAATGCAACATAAAAAAGTAACATACTTTAAAATAATATTCTACAACACAATTGTATTTCTTAATCATTAACTTAAGCCACATTCTAAATGGATCCTCAAAAAAACTAGGTATGTGAAATTTCCTTGTTCTTATTTTCTTTCCTCTGCAGCCCATGATTTATCATTGGCAGGGGAAACACCGTATCTTGCTTTTGACTTTATGAGTTTCCCCACTAAACTAAACTCTATCATAATCAATTACTATATTTATTAAATAACCCAAATCATCAAAATCTCATTTAAACTGACACTATTATATTGTATAAAATCATTGCTCTAAACAGAATAGCTTAGGAGGAAATCATTTTTATAATAATCCACAAATTAAAATGCCCAGTAGAATGGGATATTTCCTGGAGATAGTCATAATAAATTAAGGGAAGTGGGGATCTTCCCACATGCATTCACACCTTGCTAGATACCATAGGAAAATAGCAGTGGCATAAATGTTAAGGTGCAACATTAGCAAAAGTCATTGTAGAGCCAAAGCCTTTGGAGCCTCATCTATCTGAGACTCACCCATTAGAACTTTCCTTTCTGGTGGACCAACCTACTGATCTTCAGTTGCCACCTACTGCTCCTCTGACATGGCTACATAAAATATCATATTAAATGCTGTAAATACTGGTTTTTGTTTTACTTAGTAAACTTGTCTGCCATTTGCGGAATGTGATTAATAATAAGCAGACCTTAATTTTATTCTTTGTAATCAATAATTTCCTTCCCCTTTCATACAGTGCCATATGGATCATGGTTTGAGCACACCCGTGACTGGCTGTCTATGAGAAAAAATTACAACTTCCTGTTACTCAGCTATGAAGAAATGAAAAAGGTAACTGTCATTCTTACAGCAATCACAAAATCCTTTAGCAGTTCACCCCATGCAGCACCCCACGTTGTTCAGTATCCCTATTCTACCTACTCTGTCACTGTTAGGCTCATGAAGAGTCACTAAATGTGAGATTACACCCTATTTCTTTTATTAAGGTGGTCTGTCATACTCTCCAGCCTCTTAGTCCACCCTACTTGACCCTGAAGTAGGTTGGGGTAGCTCAAATGTCTTCTAGTGGTTTTTCAATTCTGTCAATTCCTAACATTGGGATCTATACATATAACTATCTACCTATATATTGGTCCATCTAGCTATCTACCCCTGATACCCTTAGTCTTCAGACTATTTGCACACTCAATTATTTATACATCTGGACGTTTCAATCATATACCCAAGAAAAAGTTTTTCCACTATCTTCACTAACTTTATCTTTTTTTCTCCCCAGTCTATATCTCTCCCACCAAATTTCTAATTATTTATAAACTATAAACTGCTCCAAATTAAAATCAACAACCCCTACACTTGCTGTAAACCATATAAACTTGATGTTTCTGATGGAATTCCAAACTGGCCTGAGCCTCTGGCTTTAACCTGTCTAAAGCAGTCTGTACGTTGCCTGCCTGAGTTTGTCCCTGTAAACCTGGATAGCAATAAAAACAGATGTCTCCAAGTCTTAACTCAACTCCTTCCTTCCAACCTTTGATAAACACTCCAAACATCCAAGGTCCTGACAACACCATTGTAATTTCAGCTAAGAAGCAGTTACAGAACAGATTACATGCTTCAGAATGTGGCTTCATATGTGTTTTTTCTCATGCTGAAGTGGAGGGCCTTGTTTTCTTCATGTCCTCCCTCCTCTTTGGCTCTTACACTTTCTTATTCTGAGGAGGAGTTCTTGGAGCCACAGAGGGAGGGATTTAGTGGAAACATACCGTTAAGAACTGATTTGTTCAAAAGTATCCACTCTGTGTAATGTCTGTCTGAGGGTCTCTTTTCTTGCCAGCTTCAGGAGAAACCTTCTCTGATGATGGCTGAACAAGGCACAAATCTGAGCATAGTA